ACTACTACTAGTGCTAGTCTACTAGTACTAGTACTACTACTACTAGCGGCAACTGTACACGGGCTATAGTAGTAGTACTACTACTAGTACTGTAGTAGAGCTAAGTCTACTACTGCTAGACGGGCGCAAATCCACTTTAGGCACCTTAGCCTAGGTATCACGAAGTGATGCACAGATTTCTGTGTATCATCAACTGATGCACAGACTTTCCGTATACAAGGAATGATGCAAAAACCCTAACCCTAACCCTAAGTCATAAAGTATAACCGTAGGTATCATGAAGTGTGTTAGGGTTAGGGTTAGGGTTAAGGTTTTTGCATCATTCCTTGATATATACGGAAAGTCTGTGCATCAGTTGATGTAGATACAATAATGTAACCCAAACCCAGGAGGATAGGGTAGGTGCAAATACCGTAGGTATCACGAAGTGTGTTAGGGTTAGGGTTAAGGTTTTTGCATCATTCCTTGATATACGGAAAGTCTGTGCATCAGTAACTGTTGATGATACACAGAAATCTGTGCATCACTTCGTGATACCTAAGGTGTCTAAAGTGGATTTGCGCCTGTTCACACTGCAGCTTTCATGAGAAAGTTCACAAACGTACAGCTACAGGGTATAAAGAACAGCGAACGTGACGTCGAAATGTGAATATCACCGGATACTCCCAATCTCATCGTGGCCCAATCCTTGTTTAGCACATCCGTGAAATAGTTTGGGACCCTACAAATATGTTTTCGCATATGTGCTAAACTAATCTGAGGAGCTAAACTAGGCTTGGGTCTGAAAATGAGGGCTGTGGTCTCCATCTAAGATTGTGCAGCCATGGGCCATCCATTCGCATTTTTTCACTCAATCGTTCGCCCCGCAGGAACGCCGTCGAATCATCATCATGGGGAAAGCGAAGAAGAAGAAGAAGGGGGCGGCGGGCTACACGTGCGGCGAGTGCGACGCGAAGTTCGCACACCGCAGCGAGCTCCTGCGCCACCTGACGCAGCACCGCACCATCCCGCACGGCGCGCACCGCTGCACGACGTGCCAGCGCCGCTTCACGTCTCCCGCGCAGCTTGGCCGCCACTGCTGCATGCGCGTCGAGGGCCAGTTCGACTGCGTCTACTGCGGCGAGACGTTTCGCACGCAGCCGCTGCGCGCGGTGCACGTAGCCGGCGAGCACGCGGGCGACGTGGCCGGCGTCGTGACGTGCGTAACCTGCGAGGTGGTGTTCAGGACGCACGAGCAGACGAACGCTCACTACAACATCGCGCACATGTCGAAATGCCCTGTGCTCAGATGCAATAAGTATGTTATGTATATATATATTATCAGGAGTCTATCAATAGACTATCAGATCTATTGATCTATAGATCTATGGATTGATCTATTGATCTATAGATCTATGGATTGATCTATTGATCTATAGATCTATTGATCAATTGATCTATCAGGCTATTGATAGACTCCTGATATTATACTGCGCGCACAAAAGAGTGCTCAGCTGCAATAAGTATATTATATATATATATATATATAATTATGTTATACTGCGTGAACTGCTGCAATAAGTGTATTATTATCAAGAGCGTATTAAGATTAAGAAGGAGAGCGTACAACGGTGAAATGCTGAAACCATGTTGCAGTATTAGTCGAATTAAGAAACTTTGCCCATTTTATTTTGACGATTCTTTGCGGTATTATTGATCAGCTGTCCTACCTTGCTAATATAAAACAAACCGCTTGTCCCTACAATGCCCCTATGCTGAGATAATGAGCGGTGAAAATCTGCTATTTTTGCCGAAAACCGACTTGAGATTTTTGTTTGCTGCGACCCTCTCTCGCTTTGTGGCCAGTGTGTTGCTTCCGGTTGCCGCTGTGTAGCGCCATGGTAGCGCTGACTCATTACATCAGTACTACAGAGTTTACTACATCCAGCGTGAGGTGGGCACAGGTGGGGGTCGTCACTATGGCAATCAATAACAGACGTCATTCATTTCATTTGTCAATCATTGACGGAAACACGTGAGGTTTCCCCAAGCTATCCCAAAGCGAGAGAGGGTCGCAGCAAACAGGGATCTCGAGTCGGTTTTCGGCAAAAATACCAGATTTTCACCGCTCATTATCTCAGCGTAGGGGCACCATAGGGACAAGCGGGTTGTTTTATATTAGCAAGGTAGGACAGCTGATCAATAATACCACAAAGAATCGTCAAAATAAAATGGGCAAAGTTTCTTAATTCGACTAATACTGCAACATGGTTTTAGCATTTCACCGTTGTACGCTCTCATTCTTAATACGCTCTTGTTATTATATATATTATATATTTATTATACTGTATTATTTTAAAATTGCTCGCGTGGGAATCGCGACGAAGATGTGTATACTTGTATATATTATGAGGCACACTCGTAGCACTGCCATGATTGATCATAAGCTATGAATAGGTTGGTCGTGGTTTGGTTGGTAGCGCAGCGACGATTACTATGATACACACGCTCTCTGTTGTGTGTGAGCTGATCTGTTTCTCACTCCATCTTTCTTTCATTCACTCTAGCTTTCATGTGCTCTCCCTTCTTTTCCCTCTCTTTTGCCTTCTCTCATTATATAGCAACGATTCGGTTGGTCGTTGGATCCTTAGCGATAACTCGATTGTGAGATCGAAAATTGACTGCCACTTTTCGTTCAAGGTGTGAGTTCAAGACTGGCAATATGTCGGAACTGAAACAGCATAAGTGCGAAAAACAGAAGAAAAGTCCTCAGAAAAAAGCATTGGCACAGTCTTCTAAATCTGTAACAAAATGTAAGTGATATTGATATGTGTAGGTTACATTTTAACTGTGTGTAGAAATGTGTGGGGGAGTAAGTGAGAGGGGGTAGATATATCGAGTGCAGGAGAGAGAGAGAGAGAGAGAGAGAGAGAGAGAGAGAGAGAGAGAGACGAGAGAGAGAGATGAGAGAGAGAGAGAGAGAGCCGAGAGAGAGAGAGAGAGAGAGAGAGAGAGAGAGAGAGAGAGAGCTGGAGGATAGTGAAAGTGGGAAAGAGAGGGTGAAGGAAAAAGAGAGAGATGAAGTGTGACAGAGAATGACACACAGAGCAAGAGAGGAGAGAAGGAGAGGGAATAGACATGAACCGTGGTTTTATGTAGGCCAGATTTGGGTCCAATATTAACAACACGAATGGAGGTTAAGATTTGCAATTTGAAAGCAGATATTTACTTTATGGGTTCATTTTTGTACAAAATATATCACTATCTACTAGGCTCAATTACCCAGATTAATCCCTGTGAATGTATGCACTTGTTTTCATTCCAGAATATACTGACTAGCAATTAAACTCCTATGACGGCAGGTTGTTGTGTCATTAATTTTTCACACACGTGTACTACTTTAGCTTCAACAACAGCAGCAGACACTAAGCAAAGCACCTCCACCACTGCTGCACCCGGTGGTGCAAGCAACGCGCCCCGAAGTCGGAAGCGGGCGGCTCCAACGACACAGTTCGCCTACATGTGCGGGGAGTGTGACTTGACTTTCGAGATACGTGCGGAGCTGGTGGCACACCTCGCGAAACATCGCGGAGGCCAGAGTCTTCTCGCCAGCAATCACAAGTGCTCCACCTGTCACAGGTAAGAAAGACGTCTTCATTTTCTTCCGTACAGTGCAGCAACCTGTCGCCAGCCTCTGGGCATAGAAATGCCGTTGTAGTAAATGTTTTTTTCACGTGGTTACGAAGGATTGACCTTATCTCTTATGAGTAATATTTGATGCTCCTGAGTTTAGATAGACCCTGTATATTTTCGGGTTCTCTTCGACAAGGCAGAGCTGTGACCTATGGACTAATGAAAATAGCGCTCATGCGCAGTCAGTTTTAATACTAATCTTGTTTATCTTTTATTAATCTTCTTTCTTTACTAAACAGGAAGTTTTCTCACGCACTGAATCTTGGAAAGCACGTCTGCATCGATATGGAAGGGTGCTTTGACTGCATCTACTGTGGAGAGCGCTTCACCTTACAAAAAGAGCGTGCACAACATATAATGGATGATCATGTGGAGTCGGTAGGTGGCGCTAGTGTTGTAGCTTTGATCTACTGTATACGCTGTATATTTCGCGGTGGTTTAATTTTCGCGAATTTCGCAAACGGGTCCCCGACCGCAAAAATAACAACACGCGAATAATTCATACCGACTAATGCCTAATAATTCATAATTCACCGACCGCGAAGTTAACCACTCGCGAAATATTGTCCGTCAAGTCTGAATTCGAGAAAATATCTGTACGCGAACAATATGGTGTATACAGTAACTGTATTGGTTATGGCTGCTCAATCTTCATCCAATAAGCGTGTCCTCTAGATATTCTTGTGTTTGTAGATGTAAACAATGCAATCATTATCAGTGAAGTGTTAGAGGTTCTCTCACATTTTCGTAACAATGCTTTCAATCTTCTCTATACGTTAAGATCACAGCCTAGCATGTTATTGACCAAGGTTCGTGTTCATCTGGCTTTATCATTTATTTTACATGGTACCTTCTCTTTATTTCTGTTGCTTGAAGTGGCTTTTCATTTTGATAAGATTAACCAATTTTTTCCATTGTACTAATATGATAGAAGGAAGAATGCAGAGTAAGCCTCAATGCGGAGTGCTGATTCAATGGGACACGAGGGACAAGTTCTGATCAGGTGTAATGCTAGTAAAGGTTGTTCTCATGGCGGCATGGATTTCTTTTGGCAGGACTTTGTCAAGTGCACTGTGTGTAGATGCAACTTCAAGGATTTGATGCAGCTGCAGTCTCACACAGACAAACTGCATTCCAGTAGGAGTGCACTGACACAGTGTTTAAGGTTAGCATTGTTTGTCCTCACTCAGACCTGTGCGGTGCATCTCATCAAATGCAAAGCCTAGAGTCAATGCACACCCGAGAGCATTTCAACTTCAGACACTCAGTAATCCTGCTTTATATCTAGGTCATAGAAAATGAGCATGCCCCCCTTTTTTTAAGAAAAATCTGCTCATTTTTATGAAAAATTATGCAGGATTGGGAAAATTTGTGTAGTCTCAGTTGTCATTTAGGTGGGTTTTACTGTATTACCATTTTCAAAAGGAATTTTTTTTCAGTTTCTAATTTCTAGGTGATGTTGTATAATTCCTACCTCATGTTGCAACATTTTAAGATCAGGCTTAGGGTTATTGTATTAGGATTAGGTATATTGGTAGCACACAACTTTTATTTGTCTCGTACACGAAAAGTTTACTGGGTTGGAATTTTCCTGGAATGCCTTGACTTTTAGTAATTTCTACCAGTTAAAAATCTGCTTATATTTACTTCTTGCATTGTTGTTCTGTTTGTGTGTCAGGTGGATAATATAACCTGAGAAAATATTTTCCTGCAAGGAAATTACACTTTTAAACTACACCAAAAAATTGTATTGCGGTAAAAATTTATTTAAACGATTGTGTTTGACAGGTGTCACTATCAGTCAAACGACGTGAGTGCCATAAAGTATCACAGGTGCGACGACACGATTGCGGCTGGTGCAGGTGGCGATAACAACAGGAATGCTGGCTCTAGTAGCGGAAAATCTAGCAAGACTCGCAAGACGACCAGAAAACGGAAGCATAGCAGCGAAAGTGACAGCGGTGATGACAGCCATGACAGCGATGATGACAGCGGTGACAGCAGTGACAGCCATGGCAGCGATTATGTCATGCCACGTAACCGGAAGAAGAAGATGCAGGCACAGGCCCAAAGTGCAGGTAGGTGTACCACGTGATAGATCCAATATTTAAGGCTATGTATTTGTTCAACCAACATTACATTTCGCCATGTAATTTTAACCTGCTATATTGTGTGCGTATAGATTTTTAAACACTGTCTGTGTCCGTGTGAGGTTGTGGTGTCAGTGGCACAATCAATGGACAGTGGGTATACATATATATATATAGGCCAACACCGAAAATTCTGGATGTATTCATATTCGAAAGTTTAACAATGCAACAGCGACTTTCTTTGTTTTATGGATGTAATTATTTGTGTTAGTATGATGTAAATTTAACATTAAATGGTTTGCTTTATGATGATTATTTTTTGTTTGTTTTGGGAACTTAGGCACAAGAAGGTCTCAGAGGAAGAGCAGCAGCTGATAAATGATGATGATGACGACGACGCATGTGTATACGACACTGTACAATGTGCGTGCCGTGGGTGTGTGCGTGTGTGTGCGTGTGTGCTTGTGTGCGTGTGTGTTTGTGTGTGCGTTCATGCATGCGTGTGTTCATGTGTGCATGTGTGCATGTGCGCGTGCGTGCATGTGTGCGTGCGTGCATGTGTGTGCGTTTGTGCGTTCATTTGTGCATGTGAGTTTGTATGTGCGTTCATGTGTGCGTTCATGTGTGCATGTGTTTGTGCGTGTGTTTATGTGTGCGTGTGTGCATGTGTGCGGGCGTGCATGTGTGTGTGCGTGCATGTGTTTGTGCGTTCATTTGTGCATGTGAGTTTGTGTGTGCGTTCATGTGTGCGTTCATGTGTGCATGTGTTTGTGCGTGTGTTTATGTGTGCGTGTGTTCATGTGGGCGGGCGTGCATGTGTGTGTGCGTGCATGTGTTTGTGCGTTCATTTGTGCATGTGAGTTTGTGTGTGCGTTCATGTGTGCGTTCATGTGTGCATGTGTTTGTGCGTGTGTTTATGTGTGCGTGTGTTCATGTGTGCGGGCGTGCATGTGTGTGTGCGTGCATGTGTTTGTGCGTTCATTTGTGCATGTGTGTGCGTTTGTGCGTGCGTGCGTGCGTGCGTGCGTGCGTGC